TCTAATATTTCATTAAAAAGTTTTATTATCATTTTTAAATACTAACCAGAGTGCTGTATATGTAAATATGAAAGTTTAGGGTGATATGCCGCATCCACCGAGTAAAGTTGGAAGTTAAAGTGGCATATAAGTAAAAAACAAATTGTCAGCATATTTTCTAGTTTTTATATGGGCGGCTTTAATTCTACTTTATAAAAGAGCCAAAATAAATTTTAATTATTTTAAAATTGAATAACGAAGATTATTTTAACATTTTAGTCTGCAAGTAAATATTAAATTTTATCTGTCAGGGAAATAAATAAAAACTATTTCGCCAAGCATTTCCATCCGTAGAAAAAATAAATATTAAAATAAAAACGGGTCCGCCTGTCAAAGGAGAAATTATAGCATACTGAATGAATTTGTCACGTTGTAATTTCACTTGCATATAATCGTTTTCTCTCCGTCCTATTTTGCAAGCATCCAAGCTCTCTGCTTCTTCCATCCCCCACCCAAAAAAAATTGATGGAGTCTGCCACACAAAACCAGAAGCTAAAAGCCCACGTTCTGATCTTCCCCTTACCTTTCCAAGGCCACATAAACACCATGCTCCGCCTAGCCGACGCCCTCTCCTTCGCCAGCGGACTCCGCATCAGCTTCATGAACACCGAACGCAACCAGCGCCTCTTCAGCGTATTCTCCCCTTCCCCATACTCTCGCTTAACCCACCGCCCCAATTTTCGCTTCATTTCAATCCCCGACGGCCTCCCCGACGACAAACCTCAATCCGGGCATCAAGTGCTGGAGCTATTACAATCGATCAGAACCCACTCGGTTGATTACTTCCGCGCGCAGCTTCTCGCAGGCCGGAACAGAGACTCCGACGGCTGGCCGCCCGTTACCTGCGTTATCGTGGATGGAGCAATGCCCTTTGCCATGGATGCCGCTCAGGCTTTGGGAATCCCTGCGATTGTATTCCGAACTATTAGTGCGTCTTCACTTTGGGTTTATCTTCGCTTTCCACAGATGATAGAGGCCGGCGAACTCCCTTTTCCGGGTTCCACCAATTGTTTCTTCTACTTTATTCATTAAATTCGAAGATTTTGCAGTTCGTGAATATTAAAAAATGGAATTTTGGGCCTTGTAAATTACAAACTAACAACTGTAAAAAATTGCAGCCGATGCGGACCTTGATGAACCCATAAAAAGCGTGCCGGCCACGGAAAGCTTTCTCCGTCGTCGTGACCTCCCCACAATGTGTCGAAAAGCAACAAAAGCCGAAGACGAAGAGCTTAGGTTTTTCGCTGAAGTCTCCGCCAGCGCCATAAGGTCGGAAGGACTAATCCTCAACACTTCAAACTTCCTCGAAGCTCCGGTTCTCTCTCAATTGCGCTCACT